CAACCTTTTTCAAATAAACTTATGCGAACTGGTGGAGAAAAAGGATACAAATTCCAAAGTATATCGAGTTATCTCTCACCTCTCATCCCCACCAGACAATAGTATGAACGACAGAATTGACAAATTGGAGTTCGCAACAAAATACGAAACAGTAACTTATGTGATCTAATAGATTAACTATTTCGTTAAAGGCTACACACTATTGAAAATAAACATTAAAGATGCATATCACATCCTCCTTGTATATCCTATAGACCATATATTGCAAGGTATTCGGCTTGGGAATGAATTGTATTTTGATAAGGTTCTCGCCTTCAGAAACTGGACCTCCGTGGTATATTCTGCTGATTTGCTGATACCATCGCTTGGATTGCTTCCCAGTTAAGTATTCTGGCTGTAATTCATTATGTAGATGATTTTCTTATCATTACTTTCTCAGATGGCTCCTGAGAGCTAAGCCAGTTCATATGCATCCTTGATACTATCAACATACCATACAAGGATACAAAGTTGGAAGGACTCTGCACAATGGTCACCTTCCTAGGAATAACGCTGAACATAGTCGCAAGAATAGCCTCTATACTGATACAAAAATGAGACAAGCTAATACTCTCATTAAGCCAATGGCTATCCAAGAAATGGTGTTTTCAGAAAGAACTGCAATCATTAGTAGGCTCCCTTGTTTGGGCATGCCAGATAATCCCGCAAGAATGACTATTTGTACAATGCTTAATAAGGGCCCAAGACATATCCAGCAATCCCAAACACCATATAAGAATGACAGGACCCATGAAATCTGATATCCAATAGTGGATAACCATGTTACAATCATGGCCAGGCACCCAATTATTTCAGAACCACAGCTGACACCAACCTTATACCTGCAACTTATATACAAACACCTCAAACATAGGTGGTAAAGCTGTATATAATGATTACTTCACGGCCTTTAACTAGGATAAATCAATAGACCTCACACGAATAGGCATTCAAGTGCAGGAGCTCCTAACCACTCTGATCGCAGTATGCACATTTGCACCAATGTAGAAAAGAAAGAAACTGATCATATGGACAGATAACTTAGCTAATGCTAAAGCGTACTACTCAGAGTACTGCAAAAACCCAGACGTGAATGATATAATCACCCAAATATATAAAGCACAAGTATCGGAAAATTTTGCCATAAAGCTTAAATACATTCCAGGATCAAAGAATACCGATGCTAACCTGCTCTCTTATAAAAGACACAGAGAGTTTATTTTTAACAATCTTTTATCCTGCTATCTCCAACCAAGCGTGCCTATAACATTCTCCAACTTAATCTGTTTTATCCCTTCTCTTAAACAATAGACATTGCCAATTTCACACCCTCCGAAACAAATTTTCCAATCGACAGCATTTACAGAACGACTCCATTTGACAATAATACCATGTTAGACAAAGAAGCTGCCTCAATACTCAGCGTTTTAACACCCCTCAAGAAATCATATGAGTCAGTTATCAGAAGATATGAATTATTGGCTATAAAAAATAAACGGCTCAATAAGAACAAAACTGTGTGGCCCATTGCAAAAGAATCTCTCATCAAGTATATCACGTTCTTACACAAAAAAGTATCACCACTGACAATTCTAACCTACCTCTTAGCCTTAAAATTTCATCATACAAGAAACCACTACAATTGAACACATATACAAACCAACCCGTTAGTAATGCAGATCCTGAAAACTATCAAAGTGACCTATATCTATATACTAATAAAGCAGAAAACACATATCACCAGACAACACCTCTTGCACATCAAATCAAAAATCAACATGAGCGACCCATTAGACTTCCTCTTCTGGGTAATCACACTTACTGCATTTTACGATCTAGCCTGGCTGGAAGAACTTTTACCAAACAACCAGGGTGATGAAATCAAGGTTCCGATACTCAATGCTCTGTCTTTTAAATCAACAAAAAGTATCATGTTTGCAATAATACAACTGGCAAGAACAAAAAATCACAAATCAGCGCACAGAACATCGTTAATCATCAACCCAACCAATAACATTCTATATTCAGTGTGTATTCTTAAAGAGTATATACACCTATGATCACAACCGTCCTACGCTAGAAACTGTACACTACTTTTTGCCAAACCTGACAGTTCCTGGGCAACAAAAATGTGGTTCATTACAAAACTGAAAAGCTTTTTCCCAAACGAAAACGTGGCAGGTCACAGTTTTCGGGCTGGCGGTACTACTAAGCTGGTATCACAAGGTGTCCAGTTAGTCCTAATACAAAAAATTGGAAGATGGAACTCAAAAACGTTTTAGCGATACATACGAAACCACCTAGCCACAATTGCCACCATCCTGGCAAAGGCCTACATTAATTAACCCCATTACAACTATTGGAACCAAACTTGGCTTAATTAATATCAGCCAAAAAAAAGAGAATAGGGAAAATACAAAATAATTAAACAAAACAAACAACAACAACAGCAAAAGAAAGGAAATAGAAAAGCAATAACGACAACAAGCAACACCTCAAAAAAAAAAAAAAAAAAAAAAAAAGAGAAAAAAAAGAAGGGAAGAAGAAAGGAGAGAGGAAACATAAACAGGTTACATACAAAAAAAAAAAAAAAAAAAAAAGAAAAACATATATATACATACAAAAAAAAAAAAAAACACAACAAAGACAAGAACATGTCGAAAAAAAAGAAGATACTGGGCATCGACTGATATATATGTACAGCACACCACACATCACAGAAAGCAACCCTCAGTACAAAGATAACACAAAGGTACAAGCGAAGAAAACATATCAAGAAGAGGCGAAC